CAATTGAAGAACCAGTGTTGGCGCTGGTTAGATCCATAAAAACAGACGTGACACAGATGGTGGAAATGATCATGCTAGAACAATTCACCCAGATTCTCCCAACCAAGGTGAAGGAGTGGGTAAAGCACCATTGGCTGTCAACACTGGCAGAGACCATGATCCTAATGGAAAATTATGTGTCCACAGAGGGTCCAGCCTCACTAATGCCAAGGGCAGGGACTCCTGGAAACAAGACTCTGACCCCTAATGAGGGCCGGGCAAGGAGGGAAGACCAAGGACAGCTAAACTGGCTGTTACCCTTTGGGGTGCCCCCGGATGCAGGGAGCAACCTCACCACAAAGGTGGAATGGGGGCGGGATCGGGGCCCTTGAAGAGGGGGATACGCCCCACAAGGAGGACCCACTGCCCCAGAGGTGGACCAAATAATACTGACCCCAAAGGGCAATTTCTTTGAGTGTGGACAGGAGGGGCATTTCAGGCAGGAGCACCCCTTTATGAACGGCAATTATGGGCAAGCATGGACGGCAGATACCCAAGGCCAGAAATGGGGCACAACTAATATGCTGCTGCCAGTACATGTCAATGGCATCACAGTGACGGGCCTGGTGGACTCTGGATGTAGTTAGACCATCGTCCAGACAAGCCTGGTGGAGTTCCCTGACAAGCCAGGGGCCCCTATCTAACTCTAACATATCCACAGGGATATGCAGTCCTACCTCATATGACAAAAGTGCAACTTAAAGTAGAGGGCCACACAGATTTGCTGAGTCAGCTTAGTGACCACCCTGCCCTACCCAGTAATATTGGGACGAGACTGGAGATAGTTTGGAGAACTCCTACAGCAGTGGAACAAAGAACCCCGGCAGAGGTCGACCCAAACCCAAGAACGAGGGGTCTTATGGGACAGGACAAGGTGAAAGGTCCTGGCAGGGGTCGCTCAGGCCAGCCAGGAACACTGGCCCAACAGCCCACTAGTCCGAGGACATCCAAGGAAGCAAGCCATGATTGGCTACCTTTAGAGGAAGACTTCATGCAGGAACAAAGGGAGGAAAAGACTCTGAGCTGCACTTGGGAGCAGGTAGCTGTCCTGGAGGGGGAAGAGGATAAAACCCAATAGGCAAAGCAGTGGCCACACTTCAAGCTCTGCAATGAATGGCTATACTGAGTGATGAGAGACACCCAATCCCAGGAAAAATGGCACCAACTGCAGGTACCAAAAAAGGCTACTACACCTAGGCTACTACACCTAGCCCACTCGGTGCTGTGTGCCAGGCACTTGGGGAGAGAAAAGCTGCTGGAGAGGGTGGCATGTAGGTTCTTCTGGCTGGACATCCACCAAGAAGTGCACAATTTCTATGCCTCGTGTCCTGAATGCCAGTTGGCAAGACCCAAAGGGAGGTCTAAGGCCCCCCTGATTCCACTCCCGGTGGTGGGTGTACCCTTCAAATGGGTAGGGGTGTATTTATTGGGACCTTTGAGAAGAATGCATTGGGATTCTGTTATATACTGGTGATAGTAGAGTAAGCCACATGGTATCCCGAAGCCGTCCCACTGTGCACCTACGGTAGTAAACGAGCTCATGAAGGTCTTTGCGAGGGCTGGGATACCAAAGGAAATAACTTTTTATAAGACTCACAATAACAGAAAACATAGAATCATAGAAATGTAGTGCTGGAAGGGACCTCGAGAAGTGATGGAGTCCAGACCCCTGTGCTCAGGTACGACCAAGTAAACTTAACCATCCCTGACAGGTGTTTCTCCAACCCATTCTTAAAAACCTCCAGTGATGGTGTCATAAATATAAAGGGAAGGGTAACCACCTTTCTGTATACAGAACTATAATATCCCTCCTGGCCAGAGGCAAAACCCTTTCACCTGTAAAGGGTTAAGAAGCTAGGATAACCTCACTGGCACCTGACCAAAATGACCAATGAGGAGACAAGTTACTTTCAAAGCTGGAGCGGGGGGAACAAAGGGTCTGTCTGTCTGTGTGATGCTTTTGCTGGGAGCAGATTAGGAATGCTCTTCAGAACTCCTGTAAAAAGTTAGTAAGCAATCTAGCTAGAAATGTGTTAGATTTTCTTTTGTTTAAATGGCTGGTATATAAGCTGTGCTGAATGGAATGTATATTCCTGTTTTTGTGTCTTTTTGTAACTTAAGGTTTTGCCTAAAGGGATTCTCTATGTTTTGAATCTGATTACCCTGTAAGGTATTTACCATCCTGATTTTATAGAGGTGATTCTTTTACTTTTTCTTTAATTAAAATTCTTCTTTTAAGACCCTGATTGCTTTTTCATTATTCTTAAGATCCAAGGGTTTGGGTCTGTGTTCACCTATGCAAATTGGTGAGGATTTTTATCGAGCCTTCCTCAGGAAACAGCGTGTAGGGCTTGGGGGGGGGGATATTTTTTGGGGGGAAGACATCTCCAAGTGGGCTCTTTTCCTGTTCTTTGTTTAATATGCTTGGTGGTGACAGCATAGGGTTCAAGGACAAGGGAAAGTCTGTACCTTGAGGAAGTTTTTAACCTAAGCTGGTAAGAATAAGCTTAGGGGGTCTTTCATGCAGGTCCCCACATCTGTACCCTAGAGTTCAGAGTGGGGAAGGAACCTTGACAGATGGGTATTCCACAGCTTCCCTTGGAATCCTTTCCCAAAACTTAAGTACCCTAACAGAAAGTTTTTCTTAATATCTAACCTAAATCTACATTCCTGCAGATTAAGCCCATTGCTTCTTGACCTCTCTTCAGTGGACATGGAGAACAATTGTTCACTGTCCTCTTTATAACAGCTCTTAACATATTTGAAGACTGTTATCATGTCTCCAATCAGTCTTCTTTTCTTAAGACTAGATATGCCCAGTTTTTTTAACCTTTCCTCATAGGTCAGGTTTTCTAAACCTTTTATTATTTTTGTTGCTCTTCCCTTGACTCTCTGCAATTTGTCCACATCTTTCCTAAAGTGTGTTGCCCAGAACTCAACACATTACTCCAGCAGAGGCCTCACCAGTGCTGAGGAGAGTGGGACAGTTACCTCCCGTGTCTTACATACAACGCTCCTGTTAAGACACACTAAAATATTAGGATTTCTGCAATTGCATCACATTGCTGGCTCATGTTCAATTTGTGATCCACTATAAATCCTACACCCTTTTCAGCAGTACTACCACTTAGCCAATTATTCCCATTTTGTATTTGTGCTTCCTGAGTGAAGTACTTTGCACTTATCTTTACTGAACTTCATTTGTTGAATTCAGACCAAATCTCTAATGTTTCATAGTCATTTTGAATTTTAATCCTGTCCTATAAAGTGATTGCAAACCCTCCCAACTTGGTATCATCCACAGATTTTAGAAGGATACTCTCCATTCCATAATCCAAGTCATTAATGAAAATAGTACCAGCCCTAGAAAGGACCCTAGGTATAGTATCAGCCCTTGGAAGGACCCATGTGGGACCCCACAAGATATGTCCTCCCTGTTTGACAGTGAACCTTTAATAACTACTCTTTCAGTATAGTCTTTCAACCAATTGTGCACCCACTTTATAGTAATTTCATCTAGACCACATTTTCCTAGTTTGCTTATAAGAATGTCATGTGGGAACTGTGCAAAAGCCTTACTAATACTTCACACTTCTAACATATTTCATCAATAGACTCATAAACTTTAAGGTCAGAAGGGACCATCATGATCATCTAGTCTGACCTCCTGCACATTGCAGGCCACAGAAGCTCACCCACCCACTCCTGTAATAGACTCCTAACCTCTGGCTGAGTTACTGAAGTCCTCAAATCACGATTTAAAGACTTCAAGTTACAGAGAATCCACCATTTACACTAGTTTAAACCTGCAAGTGAGCCAGGCCCCATGCTGCAGAGGAAGGTGAAAAAACCCCAGTCTCTCCCAATCTGACCCAAGGGAAAATTCCTTCCTAACCCCAACTATGGCAATCAGTTAGATCCTGAGAATGTGGGCAAGACCCACCAGCCAGATACCTGGGAAAAAATTCTCTGTAGTAACTCAGAGCCCTCCCCATCTAGTGTCCCATCTCCGGATATTTGCTGCTAGCAGCTGCACATCACCTACATGCCCTTGTAGGCAGTCTCATCATACCATCCCCTCCATAAACTTATCAAGCTCAGTCTTGAAGCCAGTTAGGTGTTTTGCCCCCACTGCTCCCCTGGAAAGGCTGTTTCATAGGTCTCAGAATGTTTTACAAAGGAGAGCAGGTAAAATTTCTCCCCATTTTACACAGAGAATAACTGAAAGGCAGGAAAATTAAATGAGGTAGAGCCAAGACCAGATTCCAGAATTTCCAACTCTTGACTCCCAAGCCTATACCTTATCTACTGGAGCATGCAGCCCCTATGGTTCACAGTTTACAGTCCCAGGTGCACACACACTGAAAGGAGATTGATGTGCACAAGTTTCTTCGTTGTGAATCTTACCTACTTTTTAAAGATATTTGGCAAAGATGCAACAATTAGATTGGGAGGGCTGAGTGGAAAATGCATAGAATAATCCTGAATGTAAAGTCTGGATGGAATTATTTTCATGACCGATCAACATGATGGCGTTCCTTTAAAATTTAAGATTACTACATAAACCAATATCATCCAATCCTTTGTTCACCTGACTGTTTTGTTCAATGGTGTTTTGTACTTCACTGTGTTTTTTGGCAAAGATTCAATTGCTCAACCTTAAGTAAACATTACCTTCAATTGAACAGTTCTTGTCATTAAATGTTTTCTGAAGTTCAGTACACACCGAATGTATCTTAAAACAAGTTGATCGAAATCTACAACTCTGAATGCACCAAGCAGTGAAAGGAGCTGCTATACCTACCAAAAAGTTATTACTTCACTTAGGAACATTTTAAATGTTGCGAACTTGATTTTCTTCTTTGCAAACATAATGAAGGACGTCTCTTGCTTCTGCCTATTGTCTTCCTTGTGGAAACAGATGGTGCAAACTTACAAATATATCTGTGGTATTTTCTCAGTGACTCATACAGCAGAGCAACAGGATTCAGACTGTGACAGGCAGCCAACCAAGATGGACGTAAGCTTACTTGAGGAGCAGTATGACTGTATAAAACAGAAGCAAAAGCTGCAAACACACATTATTGTGTTTAAAACAGGTATGCTTCAGATTCATAGGCCAAACCTGACAAATGTAGAGGGGTAACGGGAACTCCTTTAAGTCTTCATTAACTTAAGATACTTTTGAATGCTTATGCACAGCTTGCAAGGAAAGCACAAAGTGGACTGCTTTCATGTTGCGGATGTCTTTGTTTCTTTGTTAATTCCACTGAAAAGTAGTCTAATGGTTAACAAATATATTAGAAGAGGAAGCAGTGAAACACTTTTTAATGTTTGTTTGAGGTGATTTTATGTATTTTAAGATAGTGTTATGTAAGTTGCATGCAATTCTTGATATCACAAATGTTAATTTTCACAGGTACTAATTAATTAGTGTTAATTGACAATAATATTTGCAGCATATAGCTCTTGTCAGATTTCTGCTTTCCTTAATGCTTCCATATGGTTAACCTAACAATACCGTCTTGCACCTTTTGTTCTTCCTGTTTTAACCTGTTCCATGAAGCCTGTCCTAAAAGACTAACCAAGGCAGCAGCAAAAATCAAATGCCTAGCAGAAGTTAGGCTTTAGTTTAAAATGAGCTAAATTATACTTGGAATCACCGGCATAACTTTAATGTGCTAGCTTCAGACAGAGATGTGCCTGGCGGAAGTGGTTTCACTGTATATTATTTTGAATATGAGCCCACAGGAAAACAAATGACATGTGACACTTAGCTGCCACATCAGACGGGTTTTGGTATAACCAGTATTAGCAACATTTTTAAAGTTTATATTAGAATACTGTTTACAAATATTATATTGCTTTGCTTCTCTTTTCTTTCTAAGCTGATCGGAAGAGCCATGAAACTAAACAAAGTAATTTAAGTTTCTTTAGTTAAATAGTTGCAACATGAATAGAATTAATGTGATTTAACAGAGTTTGGTGTTTATTTCAGAGGTGAGTAAAATAAACCTGATGAACTCATAAGCCCCAAACCTGTGTCCAAACCAAATTTGGTGTGTGTCAAAATAATTTAGCCTATTTCTTACTTTACATTTTCCTGTGCATTTTTCTGCAGTTCTGGATTCTGGCTGGATGTAGAAGTGCTGAAAAAATTAAAAATTAAATAATAATATGTAATAGATGCAGTTCTATATCTCCTTTCATCCAAGGGCATTGAAACATAAATATTAATTAACCCCATGAAGAGGAAAAGTATATACATACAGAAGAACCAGTTTATCCAACAATACAAAACAGTCTAGGAGGGGAAGTGAAATGCACTGTATCCAAATGAAATTCCAGAAAGACTGCAAATAAATTGACTGTAATTATATGAGTTAAAATTTGGCCAGCACACCAAAACACAATCATTCAGACACAGGAAACTGTTGATGGAATAACTTTTGAGAGGGCAGCAAATTTATATTACAGAGGATGGCTACACAGGTGGCTCTGTTCCTTTTTCTCTGAGAGATCCCAGGTGGTAACATTGGGTAACTTCTTCTGTCTAAGAGCACTCTCCAGCAGGGTACTAAGCTTTTATTTAATATTTATGTTACAGTAGTTCCTAGATGCACCAATCAGGTACTAGACACTATACAGAGGCACACACCCTTACTAAGCTTTCTTGTTTGACATATATATAGGGCTATTAGGAGGGTTAGTGTTACTGCTTGAGGCACCTTTAAAGTTCCTTTGCTGCATGGATTTTGGCAGGGCTGAGGTTCTGGTTCCATGTTTTTAAGGTTAACAAACTGGGGAGCTTATTGAATACCCAACTGCTTATGAGTATTCAGGTAGCAGTAATTTCCATCCGTGCATGGAAAGATTGCTGCATTCTTTTTCAAATGTGGACCTTGCCACAATTATCCACACCTTTGCTACCTTGAGGATGGGTTCTGCTACTCTCCATAAGGTTACATATTCCAGCCACCAAAACACAGCAAAAGGAGGCAACCTACTTAGCAAGCAGTGTTTTGCACCGACAGCAAAGTACACCGACAGGCGATCTCCATGGTAATCAGATGATTTCCAGGAGAAGTTTAAGTGTGGGATTTTCAAAGGAGCATACAAGAGTTAGGCTCCCAAATCCCACTGTAGTTCAGTGGAAGTTGGGCACTTAACTCCCTTATGACACTTTGAAAATCCCAAAATAAACAACATTTATTATGTTGCCCAATAAATCCCTAAATTGTATGGATCCTGCCTATTTGTTCCACGACACACTCATAAGAAAATTAGGGAAATGTCTAGCTGAGATTACTATCATGTAGGTACACAACTGGTTGAAAAACCGCACTCAGAGGATAGTTATCAATGGTATTCTGTCAAAGCAGGAGGGCATATCTAGAGGGTTCTCAGAGCGGTCTGTCTGTCAATAAGTACTATTCAATATTTTCATTGATGACTTTGATAATGGAGCAGAGTATGCTTATAAAATTTGCAGATGACACCAAGCTGTGAGAAATTACTAGCCCTTTGGAGGGCAGGATTAAAATTCAAAAGGACTTTGAATAATTGGAAAATTGATCTGAAATCAACAAGATAAAATTCAATACACATAAGTGTGAAGTACTTCACTTAAAAAGGAAGGACAAATCAAATGCAGAACCACAAAATGGAGAATAACTGGCTTGGCAGTAGGATTGCTCCAAAGGATCTGGGGGCTATAGTGGATCACAAATAGAATATAAACCAAGGATGTATTGCTGTTGCAAAAAGGTTAATATCCTTCTGGAGTGTATTAACAAGAGTGTTGTATGTAAGACATGAGAGGTAATTGTCTCATAGACTTTAAGGCCAGAAGGGACCATTGTGATCATCTATCCTAATCTCTGCACATCACAGGCCACAGAACCTCACCTACCCACTCCTATAACAGACCCAACTGTCCTGCTCTACTCAGCACTGGAGAGGTCTCAACTGGACTACTATGTTCAGTTTTGGGCAACACATTTTAGGAAAGATGTGGACAAATGGGAGAGAGTCCAGAGAAGAGCAACAAAAATAATAAAAGGTTTGTAAAACCTGACCTATGAGGAAAGATTAAAAAAACTGGGCATATCTAGTCTTAACAAAGAAGACTTATTGGGGACTTGATAACAGTTTTCAAATATGTTAAGGGCTGTTATAAAGAGGACAGTGATCAGTTGTTCTCCATGTCCACTGAAAAGAGGTCAAGAAGAAATGGGCTTAATCTGCAAGAAGGTAGATTTAAGTTAGATATTAGGAAAAACTTTCTAGCTATAAGGGCAATTAAGTACCGGAATAGGTTACCAAGGGAGGTTGTGCAATCCCCATCATTTGAGGTTTTTAAGAACAAGTTGGACAAACACCTGTCAGGGATGATCTCGGTTTATTTGGTCCTGCCTCAGCATGGGGTATGGACTAGATGACCTCTCAAGGTCTCTTCCAGCCTTTATTTCAATGATTATATTTGAGACTGCCTCTCTTCCCATGATAATAAAGTAATTGTGATCATCCAAAACTTCCTCCTGGTTTAGTCGGGATGGGACTGGCAGAAAGACATTCTGTGATGAGTCTTGGCTCTAGATGGTCACTTCCCACCTCTGTTGGCCCAAGCCCTGATCTGGTGACTTTTAGAACACTTCTAGATTTACTGGTTCTCCCAGGTTTTCAACTAGTGAGTAAGTGGGGGAGTCATCTGATAATGTAACTTTCTTCTGTTCCTTCCCGTGACACACACAGTGACACTTCAGTCTCCTTCTGATATTCAGGAACAAGAGGTGGCTGGCTTTGAAAATCTTCACTCAGAGGAAGAATAGGCCAATAAATTCATTATTTATCGTAGACTGCGAAATGAAAGTGTTGCTTACTCTGGGAATTAGTCTGAGAGTGGCACCCAAAGTATACAGTAGGAGACAGTCACATACAATAAGCATATGCCTATAGAAAGCTTCTTCAGAGAGTTTCTAAAGCTCCTGTGAAACGTGATTAACCTATGTCACTCAGAAACCTTGAAAAATGTAAAGACCCTGCAATCATAGTTCCTTTATTATGAAAGTGCAAGTGAAAAGGCCTAAACAATAAATACACTTGCAATAAAACCATTATATGCACTTGTTAAATAGAAAAAAAGTTCTATTCAGTGCAAGAAGATTTAAATAAAGAACTTACCTTGGAACTTTGGAGAGTATGTAATAAACTGCTAATATAACTTACTGCATAACCTCCACAGTTCTGATCACTACTGAGTTCTATGGACTACTGCAGATCCTGAATGTGGGAAAGTGGCATGGCATGTGTATCTTCAAAGCAAAAACTTTACACCCTCTCTCTGTTTATGTTCAGAGAGAAGAACTTTTAAAAGAAGTATCTTGAAAAAAATAGAGTGTTTTGTTGTTTTGAGTACTACCAGTGAAACAGGTGGATCTGACATACCTTCAAGTATTTCATTGTAAAGACCATTACACCAAAGGAAAACCAATTACAATATTTGTAAAAACACAATCCTGTTCTCTTTCAACAACACTACTTTGATTTCAAATCCAAGGCTGAAAGGTCTCATTGCACTATCTAGTGCTGTGATCTATTTTAAATGACTGTTTGGATGCTTTTTTGACAAAATATAATCTACACTCTTCTGTCCCCAAATTTTCCATTTGAATAACCTTCAGACTCTTTACTTCAGCAGACACACCTACTGCTAATCATTACAGTAATATAAGACAAGCACACTGCACAACTCCTACGTTAAACATTTACACCAACTGAAAATACATTTAATGAGAACTTGTAGAGATGTCAGTAGGAGCCATATGTTTTTAAGGGCTCAACTCCTAGGTCATTTTAAATGTATAGCAGACCATGGGTTTTCAGTAGTTTGATTGCTGTATGCTAATAATGCCTTTGCTTTTGCAGTAATTCTGTTCCTTATATCTTGTATGTTACTAACAGTAGTACTTACATAATGCTTTACAAATATTTATTAATGGATCCTCACAACACCTCTCCATGAGATTAGCTAATAAATATTATTCTCTATTTTATAAATGAGAAAACGGAGGCACTGATGTTCAATGACTGGCCCATGGCCTCAGTCAGTGGCAGACACGTTAGGAGAACTCATTCCCAGTCCCTGGTTCAGAAGCTACACCCCGTCATTTTGCTTTAAATAAACACTGTCAAGTTCTTCCGTGACTTTGTCCCCTGTGCAATCTCATTAAATTTGGTGGTGTGCAGGAGTAAAGTCAGGGCAGAAAATGGCTCTAGCTGTCTCATTAACTTGAGGCCACAATATGTGTAATGCTGCTTTCTTGCCACCTACCTGATTTAAAACAAACAATGTTTCTGTATTAGGTGACTGTGGAAGGCATTTATTTTCAGCTCCCCTTCTTTGGGTCCGGGAACAGCAAAAAAGGAAATCCATAGATGAGAGAAAAAAACAAGATGGCAGATTCTTTCCATTTCAGCCGTTTTGTGCCACTCAGATGACACAAAGTGGCCAGAATTTGGCCCTAAATGGACAGGTGGGAATTTCCTTGGCAGAGGTAAACTGTTTATCTTGACCAGCTAACACATGTTAAAACTACAACTGCCTTGTCTACACTAGAAGTTTACCATGTGATAGTTATGACCTGTCAGCTAACATATGGTAAAAATATATTTTTTCCTAATGTAGATGAATGCACGGTTGGTAATATAAAGCCTATGACACAGTTGTGCAGTTCCAATTCAATCCGGAAGGGGGCAGCAAAGCACACACACACACTAGTCCGTTTGTTATGGTATTTTTAATTCGTATGAATAGTTGCATCAAAATCATCAAACAAATAGAACGTTTGTATCTTTGTGACTACAGATCTATCTTCAGCTGAAGAGATTCCATGTTCATCATAGGAATTCTTGCTCATTGATGATTAAAAATTGAAGATAATCTAATTTATTATTGGGTTTTATGCTAATATCAGTATTTCCTTTATAAGTCTCAATTATTATTTGATTGACTGATGGAGCACCACTTGGGTACTCAGGACTTTGAAACATTTCCCCTCTGCACCCACATACTAAAGGAACTTGCACTCTAATTAGCCACAGAGAAAAAGTGCAGACACATTGACCCCTTAGAGCTCCTAAGGTTGAGTTTGTGGCATGGAAGTTGGATCTTTAATTTTTGCCAATGTAATAATGTAGAAATATGCATTTTCTTCACAGGTGAGAATCAGCCTGTTCCTGGGGAATCAATGGTCAATGGCATTTTAATAAATAAGAAAATAAGGAAACCAAAAGAATTTAAAGAACACATTCCTGTCAGAAAGGTCACACTGGACTTAACTTCCAATGGCAATGTACAAGACAGTTCACCATGGCGTACACACCTGGGAATCCACCGTCTACTACAAGCTGATTGTCAGAAGGTTCCAAGTGATCTTGCCCATTGCAAGAATGAACAGATTAGTTTTGACAATGAGAGACTGACTGTGAAGGAAAATGTCATGCTGCCAAGTGAAAAAACACTAACTGCAAGTGAACATTCCACAGTATCACTCGATGAACTGGGAAATTCAAGTATGTTAAACAGTCCCACTGAAGAGAATAGCAACTCCATTTCAGGCATCTGCCAGAAGCCTCCTTTGAAGTCAGTCTCTTCAGCAATTTGGACACACCAACAGATTTCATCCACAAAATGTACACCCATATCCAGCAAACTAAGCTATTACCCTTTCCCTCGGAAAAAAACACCCAGGATCTCAGAAGCTGCAAAAAGACTTGGATTATATGTCTCACCATAAAGAAATTTCAGTAATGTGTAAAGTTTAGTTAAAATTTAAAATAAAATTTCAGTAAACTAATTTTTCAATTCAACTTTTGACTTACTAACTAAGGGGTTAGTACTTTATATAGTAAGAATTTGCATGGGCCAATCAACATGTTTTAGAAGTTCACAGAGTGAAAAGTCTGTTAAATGAGTTGCAATGTCATAAAGAGTATTGGACAATAAAGAATTTTTATACCTAGAGCAACATCAGGATTATCCATACCCATTTTTGTACCTTCAAATATAGGAACACCTAATGTTAACTCATTTTGCATTGATTCCTTTTTTTTCTTCTAAATCCAAACTACTGATTTTTGAGGGACAAGAATTCTATCATAGTGAGATCACAAATCATTTGAAAAAGCTGTAGCAAAGAGTAGGATTTACAAAAACTGCTGATGAAGCAACTGGACTGGATTTCAGTACTGCATAATTTGATTAGCTGTCTGAACAAGCAACAAATGAAGCAGGTTTTAGAACAACAGTAGCAAGGGTGATTAACGCGTTCTAGTCAACATGAGGTTTTATTATTCATTTACTTCCACAAATTATTTGATTGATTTTCCTGTGTGTATCCTAAAACAGTGAATAAAACCATCATAGCATATTTCTGTTGCTGTCCTTAATGGCATTAAATACAGTAAATATCCAAATGCTTTTCCTATTCATAAATCCCACATGCTGTTAATTGTTTCTTCCAGCTGTGAATTAGAAACACACCTGTGCCTTGTGTTGTTGCTGCCATAGTAAGATGAATTATTCAAGTTGTGATATGGTTTTCAATGAAAGAATTGGGGCTAGCTAACATAAACATACAAGATAAATCAGATGTACAGTATGTACTTCCAAGGGACATGGTGAAGAAACAATTTTTTGGGTCATTCTGAGATGGAATGAGCAAAGCCCTAGAAAATACTGAACACTATGGGGAATTATTTTACAGTGGCCAGGGGATGGACTAGAAAACTTAGAACATCTTTCCATTTCTCATTTCTCATTCTTTGGTACTCTGTGCTAGTAAAAAGGTTCTTCACCTTCCAAAATAAGCTATTATGTGCTTCAGTATTAGATTTGGTACTGAGATGTAAACTTTCCATTTGACTTGTTACACAGCCAAAGCTACTAATGGACTTATCTGTACAGGGAAATTGATCGGCACTTATTTATTAGACTATTAATTTCATATATCTTAGAGCTTTTATAGCTATGCCAGTATAAATCCCACATGTGGGCACCCTATTCTGGAAAAAAAGTAACTTTATTCCATAATTATTCTAGAATAAAGTCACACTGATTCTGGAATGGAGAGTCCACACACAGACTGACATAGCTATAGGGGAATACCAGTTGCCTGTCAACTTCCCCTCTAGACAAGTCTTAAAATAAGTTCTGAGTAAGTGGGGCTCCTGCTTTATGAGACAAACTTCAAGGAAATATAGTTTCCTAATAACCAAAATAATATTATAGCACTTTTATATTAAAACTGGTCTATAAATATTAATATACTGCACAGAATTAGTTGCTCCAAACTTTTAACAGGATCATCTTAACTGCGCAATATGCTTTGGGATTGGGGGGCGGGAGGGAGAGCTCAGTGGTTTGAGCATTGGCCTGCTAAACCCAGGGTTGTGAGCTCAATCCTTGCGGGGGTCATTTAGGGATCTGGGGCAGAAATTGGGGATTGCTCCTGCTTTAAGCAGGGGGTTGGACTAGATGACTTCCTGAGGTCCCTTCCAACCCTGATATTCTATGATTCTATGATTTTTGGCCTAGTTCTCCAATCAGTTTACAGTTAGGGATGGTAAAGACAGACGTTAAAGCCGAGGGCAAAAACCTCACACAGTTATCAGTGTTTAAGAGCCTGATCCAGCTAAATTAAATTCAAAGGTGGGATAACCAATGACTTCAATGGTAGTTGGACTGGGCAATAAATTAGCCAGCCTCACACAATAGAAGCCAAGAAATCTCCAGTAATTTATTATTTATTAATGTTTTGATTTTTTAAACAATGATCAATTGAAGACAATCTATTTTTATTAGGTAATAATTAAAAGGCACAGAAAATATAGACGCAGCAAACTCTGAGAGGAGGACATAGCTATGCCAGCATACATTTTAAATGTAGAGCAAGACTTATTCTTTTTAAATTTAAATCTTTGTAGACTTCCTTGCAATTTAGGAAAGGGCAAATTACAACTAGAGACTTTAATATTGTACTTAATACCCTTTTGAGCTGAATGGACAGTTCATTTGTCTTGGAGCTTTTATATTAAGTTGTATTCATCTCAATAAGGTATTCTCTTTGAGTTGCAAACACTCCATTGAGATAAACTGGTTGCTCATACCTTAGAGCTATTGAATCAGGCTGTTGGCAGAGATCATGGATTAATTTCTAAGGCCTGGTCTACACTTAATCTTAGGTTGACACAGCTACTGCTCTCAAAGGGTTGAAAAATCCACACATCTGTCTGATATAGTTTTGCCAACCGACCTACAGCAATCCTGGAGTTTGTACAGCGATGGAAAAAAATCTGTTCCATTGCTCTAGCCTGTATCTACACTACTATGGCACCATATGCACAGAACCGCATAGCTATGCTGGCATAACCACAGAGCATATATAGCACAGAGCAGCCTACACCAACGGAAGATGCGCCCAAGGTGCCTTCATCCTCTACCCCGGGTTGACTATGCAGAGGACCTGGAACAAGACTTTACATTGTGGGAAGTAATGACCAGACTTACAAAAGACCAAAAACACAGACCCAGAAAAAGATGGCATTTGCTATAGCTTCCTGAAAAAACAAGACCCCAGTTGCCTGGTATTAACTGCCATTTTCAACAAATGCAAACACTTCTACCGTCCTTCCAGCTTCTGAAAGAAGTTCATGACGGTGTTCGTCTACAAGAAAGGCGAGTGAGACAACTCCAGTAACTGGAGACCCATCTCTCTCTATTCCACCATGTACAAACTGTATGCCAGCTGCCTTGGGGCTAGGATCACAGACTGGTCAGTGAATGGAGGAGCCATCAGCTCCATCCAGAAGGGCTTCAAGTCTTGCGAAGGCTGCTATAAACACAACTTTGTCCTTCAGACTGCCAAACACCTGTCAGGGATGGCTCAAGTATAGTTGGTCCTGCCTCAGCACAGGGGGCTGGGATTTGATCACCTCACAATGTCTCTTCCAACCCTGCATTTCTATGATACAGTTGTTAGGGGGCTTATTCCTTCACCCACTTACTTTCCTGGTCCTTCTCGCATGAACAGAGAGCAACAATACCCGAAGTCCAAAGGTGCAAACAATTCGATGTTTATTGGGGTGAACTTCCAGCAAGCATGATTCCAGTTTCCTTCCTTAGTATCCTCCTTCCCAGCTCTGACACCACAGAGCCTTACACCTGTGTCCCTGTTCCCATTCCTATCCTTAGCCAAACATGATTCCAACTTCCTTACTCCCATTCCCTGTTCCCATTTCCCCCTTTAGCAAAACATGATTCCAATTTTCTTACCCTCATTCCCTGTTCCCATCTCCCTTACCCCCATGCCCATGCCCACGCCCACCCCCACCCACTAACTTCCTCATTGACTACAGATTATATAGTAAAACTTGAGTTCTGCTTAGCTATACCTTAACCAATCATTTTCCTGAAATTTAACTAACCAATCCTAACATATTGTAACATGATTATGTAACCAATTATATCCCACCACCTTAATTAGTTTACACCCAGCAAAATTAATTATACAGTAGACGGGAACAATCACAGAACCAGACAGAGATTATACAGACAAACAATAGCAAAGTGGGAACTACAATGACAAGACAACACAGAAGTGAGGATTTCACATCCCAGCTATTGATAAGTGAGTTCTTGCCAGACAGGATGCTATCAAACTAAGTTTCCTTTTACATTTTCTAGGCACTTCCCTTTCTCTGGAGGTGATAAGAATACAGGACAGGATTGTATTCCTAACAGCCCAATAGCACCTTATTTCAGTGTGACTAGTTTGGAATGTGAGGATGTGACTGTTTGCTTCCCAGCTTATGGCTGCCTCTGCTGCTTAGCCAAAGGCCTTAGCCTAAGAACAGGGCCTCAGACTGTCACAGTAAGAGAAGGCCCTTACACCAGCAGACAGTGATTTTGATTCTTTCTTTTATACCTCTATCACTAGCCAAGTGATAAGAATACACCTAAATTCTTAGAGTATAGGCCTTTACAGACAGGCCTGAATATCTATATCCTAACAACAGTATACCTCTATTATATCTTTATACTGATATAACTGTGTCCACACTCAGGTTTTACCAGCATAGCTAAAATCATACAATTGCATGTGTAGACAAGGCCTAAGGTTTTCCTACAGTGCACATATGCAGCTGCAATTCTGCTGAGGTCTTTCTGAAAGGGGAAGGTATTCTGATGCCTGGTCTACACTTGAAAACCTAGCTACATCACTCAGGACTGTGAAAAATGTCATGCCCTGGGCACAGTAGGTAGCTTTACCTATCTCCTGGTGTAGACATGGCTAGGCAACAGAAGGATTCTTCTGTTGACTTAGCTAACTCCTCTTGAAGAGATGAATTAACACCACCAGAAAAAACCCTTCTGAGGATGTAGGAAGCATCTACACTACGGTGCTACAACAGAAGAGCACAGCTGCTGTAGCACAGACATACCCTGAGGCTATGTCTACACTACAGAGCCTATACTGCCATAGCTATAATGACATAGCCCCCTAGTGAAGATGCAGCATCCGCTGACGGGAGTTTTTCAGTATGGGCTGGTCTACACTATGGGGGTGTGTGGGGATTGATCTAAATTACGCAAATTCAGCTACATAAATAACGTAGCTGAATTCAATGTACTTAGATCTACTTACCGCGGTGTCTTCACTGCGGTGTGTCGCACTTCTCGTTGAGGTGGAGTACCGGAGTTGACACTAGAGCAATCGATGGTCGATTTATCGCGTCTATGCTAGACATGATAAATCAACCCACGCTGGATCGATCGCTGCACGTAGATCCAGCTGGTAGTGTAGACAAGCCCTATAGGAACACCACCTCCCTAAAGGAAATTAGCTATGTCAACAGAAGCACTCTTCTGTTAGCATAGTTGTGCCTACGCTGGAGGAGGGGGGTTGTCAGCATAGCTATGTCACCAGCGGTTGGGGGGTGTTTTTTCTTGTCCCTGAATGACATAGCTATGCCAGTCTATGTTTTAAGTGTAGACTAGGCCTACCTTCCATTTTCTCTGTGCCCACCACAACTTCAAATCACTACTCATTCATAAACTCCCACTGAGCCTTCCTATGCTCGATGGAGCAGTGTTGAGCCTGGGAACGTTTGCATCTGGTTGTCAGAGCTCATGCTGCCACCTCAGGAGACTCATAGCTGCAGCTGTGCACCACGGGCTGCTCACATGCCCATGAAGATAACAAAAACAGCTGGGAACATCATAGTATTTTACCCCATCCTAACAACTCCAGCCATTTTCTCTGTGTCTCTCCACAATCCCACATCTGCACTCATAATTACACACTACCATGGCCGTCACTCTTCTCTTTACTATACCATTGACCTGGGCAGGACTTGTAGT